AAAAAAAACCAGACAGGTCAGATTGCAAAAATATCTACAGTGTCTTTACACCAGACCTCAACCAGGCCAAAGGCACCGGGCTTTACAGTGAGGTGACAGGGGGTGTGGGGTGCTGTGGGATCGGCCTGGGGTCTAATTTAGTTGTGGAGTCAGCGCCATCTGGATTGCTAATGTGTTGCCGTTGATTACTGTTGAGCACAGATTCCTCAGTGTAATCATTTTGCTCCAGACTGTTGAACACTGAAGATAAGTTCAGGGTACCAGTATAGTCAGGGAAAAGTTTTAAAACGATGACATCAGCACAGATCGGGATAGGCGACCAACACTGGAGCAGTTTAGGAATTAACCACAGAGTACTATAATGGACAATATGTGCCACTAATGCTTTAAAAATCAGTGATTTGATGTTTATCCAGGTACAAATAGGCCACTGACTGTGAGCCATCAACAAGTAATGTACGCTTTCTACAACAAATGTCTTCTTTTTCCTGTGCATCACCAGTCCCCCTTCATTTCAAACCATTATCAGTCAATAGACCGGACCCCTACCAGCATCTTTTCCCAAACCATAACCACTCCAAGCCCCGTCTGGATTTCACAAAACCTACCCAGGAAAGTTATACAAGCTGACTCAGAATGACCTGAAATGCACTCCCCCAAAGTACGGTAGGTTGACTCGGGACTGACAAAAAAAAAAAAAAAACCTCTCTCAAAGTGGGTCTTGTCACATATCTATTAACTTGGGACCCTGTCTAAACACCCTGTACTCCTGCACTTAGCATCCTGCAACCTTCCTGACGAGGTTATGAGCTAAAGTTCCCCTCGTTATCACCCATTTCCTTCATATCTCTAGAACCGTACATGCGATTGGCACGTGGGTGGTAATGTTTGATTTGGGGTACAACTATTCAACCTACAAAAAGTTCTATACAGGCTGATTACTTCCAGCTATTCATACTTAGTGTAATTCTGTCTAGTTACTTTTAGGGATTAAATAACTATGGATGCTTTAAGATATGGAATCAGAACGATGCCACCTTGAAACGAAACCGGAAAAAAAAAATTGTAACTGAAATAAATGTACTGAAAGATCTTGTATTGAAACCGAAAAGAAATTGATAGTGAAAAACAATTAATTGAAACTATTTTTTTGTTTTATACGCTTACAATTTTTTTTTTCCCAGTTTCAATCCATTTTTCAGTTTCACTCTGCTGGCACTGTTTTGGCGTCCGGGGGCGCGCTGGGAGGGGGGCGGGGATTCCGACCCGCATGTATTTGCATATATTATAATGCTGACCAATGACTGGAGAAAACACTGACGACGCGGCTGCGGTCACGGACAAACATGCACGTGTCTGTTCGGGAATGGCAGATGCAGAAAGGTCCAGCGTTTACATTACCGAGTATTTCAAAGTGACAGCCTGAGGTGTTCTTCAGTAAATTGGACTACCGGACAGGAGGACCTGAGGCCCCACCGCATTATTTTTGGTAAGTTAAATGTGTTTGTAAACTAATCCGTAATTTAGGTCCTTAGCTAGCTACCTAGCTAGTGCTCACCTTAGCTAGCTAAGATGAGCACTCGGCTGTCGGGGAAACGTGTTTTGTATAGTTCGTTTAGCTAACCCGTGCAGGTGAATGAATTTACCCTGACTAAAGAAATCAAGAGAAACGCACCGGGCTGCTCAGTGACTAACCACGGTTACTGTACTTTTATTATACTGTAAGAGCAACAGGCTGGACTCTGCTTCTGCTGCTGTGCAGAGCTGATTATTAAATATGTGCAAACAGCAGCATGTTTTCTGTCGCTTTCCACATGTGGAACGACATTAACGCCAACTTTTAAAAACCTGGCACTTCAGTAACCCCACATTAGTCAATAGCTACGGATTAAAGAGCAAAGCCCGATACTTATGTACTGAAACCAAACTACTTCCGCTTGTCAGTTTAAGTTAAAATGTTACATTTTTTCTTCTGATTATTTTAGCTTTTTACTGAGTTTGTTACAAATATTCAGGTTAAAAAACTGTCCGAATTATTTTTAATGAGTTATGTTCACAAAGTCACATGTGCAGTACTCTGTACAGCTTGCATCCTTTAGGACAAATAATTTGAAGCATTAATATTTCTTGTTCACTGCTGATAACACCTCCGTATGTTGTGACCAGGATGCAGCAGCAGACTGAACCAGAACTGAAACCTGCTCCATCATCTCATCTTTGCAGATGTCCATTTATAAAGCATCAACAACTCAAAGGTAAACATAATATTAGAAAATGTGTTAGTATATAAGGCCTTTAAAACAAATAAAAATAAACAGCTGTCGGCAGAACTGTAGACTGAACAACTTCAGATCCCGAGTGTGTGAGGACGGAGAAGGATCTGCTCTATTTCAGATTTGAGAGATAAACTTTATATTTCAGTTTGTAATGATTCTGTTCTGTTTGTGATTACAGGAGCCGTCCTCAGATTCAGACCTCACCCCAGTGTTGGGAAGGTTAATTTTAAAATGTATTCCACCAAAGATTATAGAAGTAATGTATTCTGAATACTTTACAACTACATGAATGTACTATTGCTGTGTGATTTATTACTATTACTGAAGGCTACTCGCTATACCAATGCCAACTAGATGTTAAAATCTTAATATAAATGAGTAACAGTAGGTGGACATTAGGTAAGGCTGCACTTTTTGCAACGATCTCGTGTAGAAAACAGGTCAGCGGCTCCGAACCGTAGTAAAGGGACCTCTGGCTAATACGTCGGGTTCGTGTCGGGCTCGTAGCTGAAAACTAGCTTTACTTTGTTGTCTGGGTC